CAGTGGGAGGGCTTCTAATGTCCTGGCCCCACTGGTGGACCTCCTGATGGCACTGGTATTTCTGGCCACTGTGTGACAGAGTGTTGGACTGGATGGGCCTTTGTCCTGATCCAACATTGGCATCTCTTATGTTCTTATGTTTAACCAACTTATGGAAACCCCAGAGGGTTTTCAAGGCAAGAGATGAACAGAGGTGGTTTGCCATTGCCTGTCACTATGCAACAACCCTGGTATTCCTTGATGGTCTCCCATCCAAATACTAACCAGGGCCATCCCTGCTTAGTTTCTAAGATCTAATGCAGGGGTAACCAAACTGCAGCTCGGGAGCCACATGTGGCTCTTTCACACATGTTGTGCGGCTCACGGCAGGGTGCCTGGGGAAGCGAAGGGGAGGCTTGCCTCTGACCGACCGGTCTTCCCTCCCCCAGTTAGTGTTCCCCTCTGTGGGTAGGCTTGAGGTGGGGGGTGGGGAGCGGAGAAAGAAAGCAACTTTAAATGCGTTCTCAAAGCCCCCATCCCCCCCCCGCTGGCTTGGAGAAAGCCTTTGTCTCTTTAAATATCGTTATCAGTATCTGTTTTTACCCCGTTTTGTTTTTATTTCTGGCAGTCTTGTTAAATGTTAATGTTACTAAAAAGCAAAATTTGCATATTTTCCAATAAAAACATATGCAATATTTGTTCATGTCTTGCGGCTCTCAGACACCTCATGTTACTTCTATGTGGCTCTTACGTTAAGCGAGTTTGGCCACCCCGATCTAATGAGACCGGGCTAGCCACAGCCACCCAAGTCAGGGCAGAGTACTCAACACTGTGTATTAATGTCAAGGAGAGCAGTGCCTCAGAACCCATCCTTTGTTATAAATGTAAATGCCTTATAAACACAGGGCTATTTTTGGAGTTCCTGCCAGAAAATAAGGAGGTGGGTGTGGCTGGATGACCAGACTTCTGGTAACATGGGGTGTGTGGTCTAATATGCTAATGAGCTGTGCTGTCAGGGGTGTGGCCTAACAGGCTAATGAGTTTCTGCTTTTGGGTGTGGCCTATTATGCTAATGAGTTCCAGCTGGGCTTTTTCTACCAAAAAAGCCCTGTATAAACATATCCTTATTTTCATATGAAATGTCAGGGGGAATAAGACAGAATCTTTTTTGTGGTGGCACCGCAATCATGGAAAGACCTTCTTAATGAAACTTGCCCAGCGCCTACTTTACTGATATCTGAGCTTTGTTTCATGCCTCCGCCTCCTTCCTTTTTATGTTGTTGCTGCCTTATTTGGTTGTTGGATTTATTATTATTATTATTATTGCTTGATAATTTTGCCATCCTGACCCTTTCTGGAACTGAAAGGTGGGTTTACAATTGTTTTCAATAAAATAAATGTTAAGATAAAAGGTATCCTTACAAGAGAAGTATCATTTGTCATGAAGGATAATTCCCACCCATCGTTTTTTTTCTTCCTTTCTTCTTTTTTCTTTTTTGTACAGGGGCATCAATTATCCACTTCAGGCAACATTGCAGAAGGTTTTTTCTCCACAGCGTAAAAGGAAAGAATAGGGGAGCTTGCCCATGCAACGCGGCTGATACCACAGAAAGGCTCGCTTTGTCTTTTTCACTCCTGGCCGGGCTTCAGCTGAGTCCCATGAGATAGCTCTGAATTGCTTCTATTTATTTATTCTTCCGCTTTTTTTTTTTTTTGGAAGGTTTAATATCTCCCCCCACACACCAGCCAGCTCTCGCTGGCGCAGGGAGTTCTGGTTCTGTTAACGTCAAGGTCTTCAAAGGCTGCAGGCAACCATTAGAAATAAGGAAACAAACTCTGGGTAGAATCAATTTAAAGCATGAGTTGGGCCGAGTAGTTGCTAGATGAAGCCTGACAGACAGAAACAATCCTATGTATGTTTTGACTGGGCCGGCAGGAAAAGCATGGACTATTCCCCTCCTCTGCCCACCCCGGCCACCTTCTCTAAGGCCAGAAAAAATATGTCAGACTTTTCGAAGCCAGTATCAAGTAGGGATGCCAACCTCCAGGTAGGACCAGGGGATCCCCTGGAACTACAGTCTATCTCCAGGCTACAGAGATCAGTTCCCCTGGAGAAAATGGATGCTTTGGAGGGGAAGCTCTATGGCATCATACCCCACTGAGGTAGGTCCCGGTGCCTCCATTCACCCAGTAAGTGTTCTTCTCGACATATACTGACTGTTTGGGCTGCCATCCAGCAGAGAAATGTTCTGTTCCCTGCATGCTTCACTTTTCGTGCCTGTTATTTCTCCCTCAACTGCATCCCCTGTTCCATTTTCCCCCCTCCTCCTCCCCTCCCAATCTCCCGTCACGAGTCACAGTTTTGTTCTTGGGAAAGGAGGGTACTGAAACAACTTACAAGCCAATGACAGAGCATGCAGAGAAAGGAGCCAAAGTCTGCAAAAAAGATTTCAAACCAACCATTTGTTGTTGTTGTTTTAAACAATGTCTGAGCAGTTTCTCCTCTTTTCCACTGACCCTTCCAGTTCAGCACCTTGGGCCAAATGTGATTGCATTGCAACCAACAGTTTTTAGGAAATGACAGCAGGCAATACCAGGACAGGCAAGCCTCGCTCTCATTTAATTCCCCCCCCAAAAAAAAAACACCGGTATTGATTCAGGCTTTCCCACCTTGGCACTTCTTTATTTAAAACGTTACGATGTTGCTTTCCCACCCAAATAGGGTCCCCTTCCTCCCTCCTTCCCTCAGTTAGTATATATATACTATATGCTATATACTATACTATATGCTATATACTATATACTATATATACTATATGCTATATATACTATATATAGAGAGAGGGGGGAGAGGGGGGGAGAGAGAGGGGGGGGAGGGAGAGAGAGGGAGAGAGGGAGAGAGAGCACTGTGTTCAGACTACTCCAAAAACCCAACAACCCTGTTGGGTCATTTAGTATCATGATGCAACAGTAACAACAATAAAGCAGGCTGGAAGACAAGGCTGCAACTGAGATACTTTGGCCCACATCAGGAGTAACAACAAACCAAAGTTATGTGAATGAGTCTGGCTTGCATGCTCCCTCCCCCCTTGCAGACAGTGACTCTATTAAAGACTTCCACTATGCAGCAAACCACTGTTTGTCATTACATCTGAACCACAAACCACAATTGCTCTCTACCCTCCCAATCCAGATTCTTAACTCTGGTTAATGGCTCAAATTCATGGCCGAACTTTGTCCTGGACGTCTTTAAACAGATTATAAAGGGAGAAGGAAGCAGGTGAGCCCAAAGATTCAGTTTATGCAACGTCTCATTTGTGCAATGACAAATCTTGCCAACAAACCATGACACGTGAAAGGGGTGGCTTTTATAAGGCCATCTTCTAAAAACCTCAAGATTTGACATGGGGACTTTATGATTCAGTCTCTTAGCATTATGTAAACCAGGGCTATTTGCAGTGCTGCCCCTGCTTGACGACATCAGTTACAATTAAGTATGAAAATGCTTAATTCCACCTACCCCACCCCTGCAATTAAAGTTTAATCTTCTATCCAAACACAGAGAAAGAACAAACAGGAACAATCAGAAGCTGGGGATAATTAAGAGTGCTCCTAGGTCAGGGCTGAAGTTAAGGAAAAATGTAAACCAGGATAACAATGGTATTCCAATTTACAGACATTTGGGGCCAGTGCTCTTTTTGTAGAAAAAGCCCAGCAGGAACTCATTAGCATAATAGGCCACACCCAACAGCAGGAACTAATTAGCATATTGGGCCACACCCCTCACAGCACAGCTCATTAGCACATTAGGCCGCACCCCCATGTTACCAGAAGTGTGGTTATCCAGCTACACCCACCTTTTGCTTCTTATTCTGTTTACCTTGTTTGTTGTCAAAACCCAGGGCTTTTTTTGTAGCAGGAACTCCTTTGCATGTTAGGCCACACACCCCTAATGTAGCTAATCCTAATGAGTTTCTGCTGTTAGGTGTGGCCTGTTATGCTAATGAGTTCCTGCTGGGCGTGGCCAACTTGGGAGCCAGCCGGAACTCCGTTCCTGTGCGTTCCTGCCCAAAAATAGCCCTGCCCTTTCCCAAGCAATGGTGTTCAACCACTGCAGACTTGGGACCCACTGATCATGGGGTCCACTGAGCTGCAACCACGTGACAAGAAGTCACATGACAGGGAAAGGGTAGAGCTAGAGTTATGACCTTACTGATTTCAAGGCCAGGGCAGCAAACCAGAAGAGATGGAGAAAAGTTACACAAGCCAAGCACCAGGTGCTATACCAGAGGTAAGAACATCCTGAAGGTCAGACCCACAGAGGAATCCTCCCCAGAAACATGTGATCTCACCTCCCTGTCCTGCTGCTTTTCCTCTCAGCATGCATGCAAAGAGAGGTAAGAGGCCAGACATTCGTTCTCTCCATGCAGTAAGACCTTCCGAAAGGCAGCCAGAATGGCAGATCTACAGGGAGCTGCAACCCACTAAGAGACACGCAGCAACCCACCTGAAGATCCCCAACACATGGGTTGAAGACCACTGGTCTAAAGAAACCTCACAGTAGCTCCATCACTGAAACTAAGGATCTGGCCCTCAACTAGAAGAGAAAATCGCCACCCAGAAACCATGCCCTGAATTCCTTCTTGAAGGACAGACAGAACACAGCAGACCCAACGCATACAAAAAGAACAGCTAAATTGACCTGACCTTCTTGAAGGACAGACAGAACACAGCTGACCCAACGCATACAAAAAGAACAGCTAAAAAGGCTCAACTGCTGAGAGCAATAGGTTTAGCCTCTCAGTGCCAGAGGCTACAAATCCACAGGACAACCTCTTCTACTCGACAGCCTCTTCTACTCGTTTACATGAGACACAATCCGCTAGGAAGCTTCCACTGAAAAGTACTTGGGCAACCTCCATTTGTTTCCACAGGACTGCATAGAAGAACACCCCGACGTGGGTCAGACCTGTGTGCCCCACATCCCATCCCCCAAATTGCCCTTCAAGGCAGTGTCTCACCTCGCCTCATAGTTAGATCGTCTTTGGCAAACAACTGGGTTGATCCGTCAGTACATCCAACATCCTCTCATGAAGCAACGGCAAAGAACTGAAAAAAAAAGAAGGGGAGAAAAACAGGTTATCAGAAGCCAACTCTGAGTGTGAATAATCTGTGAGTGTTCCCAAGTTCTAAACTCAGCCCCATTCTGAACATAGCTAGCTCCGTGTCCAGAGGCATTCTGGGTGATGACCCATCTCTCCCTCAACTTATGCCACTGACGTAGCCCTATGATCACAGTCATCAGTGGCTCAGTTGGCAGAATAGCTGTTATTTATCGCCACACTGTACATGCAGGAAGAAATATCTTTATGGGGGGTACACCTTGACGCCCCACATACCTTGCCAACAAAAGGAAAATATCCTTCAGCCTTTTCACACCATCCATCAGTTCACCACCCAAAAACCCTACCAACTGTTCTCTTGCAGATGCAAAGGTTACCAGTCGGACACACAACAGATGTTATGGTTGAGCCCGTTTGGCAAAATGGCAAATGAGAGCTCTGTAGGTAGCTTTGCATCTGGAGCAGTACTTCTCCCCCACCGCCTCCAACAGACGACAAACACAAACTGCACAACACACACACACACACAAAACCAAATGCACACTGAATGCTAAGCCTTCAGCACGATGCCGCCGCAGCCTGTATTCAACAGCTAGCTGCTATCCCTATCAAAGCAGCCAGATTAGCCTGCTGGCCGATAAGCAACATCATAATGATAGCATGAGCTTAGAGGGCTGAGACGCCATGGAAAAAATTGTAGACCTGATGTCATTGTTGTTTCAGTTTCCCCGATGCTTTTCACACACACACACACACACACACACACAAAACCAATGTTTATTCTCCTCTCTTTGATCCTGCTGCAACTGAGGTTAGGTGGGGACATTCTGGGCACTGAAGAAGGAGGGAGGTGGGGAAGAGGAAGAAGAAGAGGAAGAGGAAGAAGAAGAGGAAGAGGAAGAAGAAGAGATTGGATTTATACCCCGCCCTTCACTTGGAGTCTCAGAGCGGCTTACAAATTCCTTTCCCTTCCCCTCCCCACAACAGACACCCTGTGAGGTGGGTGGGGCTGAGAGAACTCTGACACAAACTGCTCTTTTTCAAGGACAGCTGTGCCAGAGCTTGTGACTGACCCAAGGTCACATCAGCAGGTGCAAGTGGAGGAGTGGGGAATCAAACCCGGTTCTCCCAGATTAGAGTCCGCGCACTTAACCACTACACCAAACTGGAAGAAGAGGAAGAAGAAGAAGAAGAAAAAGAAGAAGAAGAAGTAGTAGTAGTAGTAGTAGTAGTAGTAGTAGTAGTAGTAGTGGAGGAGGAGGAGGAGGAGATTGGATTTATACCCCGCCTTTCACTACCCAAGGAAGTCTCAGAGCAGCTTACAAACTCCTTTCCCTTCCCCTCCCCACAACAGACACCCTGAGAGCAGTGTTCCCTCTAAGCTGAGTTAGTGTGAGCTAGCTCGTAGTTTTTTAGCCTACAGCTCACATATTTTTGTCTTAGCTCAGAAAGATATGGCTCCAGAGCAGGTTAATTTATGCAGTTGCCAAATCGCTCGCTCACAACTTGAATGCCACTAGCTCACAAAGTAGAATTTTTGCTCACAAGACTCCACAGCTTAGAGGGAGCATTGCCTGAGAGGTAGGTGGGGCTGAGAGAGCTCTTGACAGAAACTGCTCTTTTTCAAGAACAGCTCTGACAGAACTATGGCTTGCCCAAGGTCATCCAGCAGGTGCAAGTGGAGGAGTGGGGAATCAAACCTGGTTCCCCCAGATTAGAGTCCGCACACTTAACCACTACACCAAACTGGCTCATCATGGCAGGGTTCCATTTCAGATTCAAGCAGAGGAGGGAGGAGAGATTTCTGTGACTGAGAGATGCAAAATTCAGCAAGGTCCAAAGGCCTGCTTTCAGACACATTCAGTATTAAAAACATGTATTTTTAAAAGGGTGTGGGGGGAGATCTGGGGGTACACTCTTGCTCCCCACAACAAAGTTCTACTTTGCTCAGGTTCGTAGCACGGACAACAAGGTAGTTCATGTGATTTGTTATGTGTTTATAATATTCATTATCCTGCACTCTTGATAAAAATATTCTCAAAACAGATTGCAAGTTTCCAATTAAAAAAAAACACTTTTAACAACCCCTACAACAAACAGCAGCATAAAAGCAGAATGGGGAATAAGTATTAATAGCAACATCAAACAGAAGAGCCTAACCACAGAAACAGTTGCCCAATATAAAAACTATGGGTAAACCTGCAAAGGAGAATGAAATAACAATTTCATATGGACAGGATGTTTATACAAAGTCTCAGGAAAAAAATGAAAATGTTTTCACGTAGAGAACATAAGAACATTAGAAGAGCCCTGCTGGCTGGATCAGACCAAAAGTCCATCTAGTCCAGCATCCTGTCTCACACAGTGGCCAACCAGTTCCTCTGGATGGCCAAGAACAGGGCATAGAGACCGTGGCCTTCCCCAATGTTGCCTCCTAGCTCTGGGATTCAGAGGCTTAGTGCCTCTAAGTGTGGAGGTTCCCCTCAGCAGCCACTGATAGACTCATCTTCCATGAATCTACCTAATCCCCTTTTAAAGCTGTTTATTCCTGTGGCCATCACTACATCCTCTGGTAGCGAATGCCGCATTTTAATCATTCTCTGTATAAAGTAGTTTTCTCTTTGTCCATTCTAAACCTACTTCATAGGGATAAACAGCTTCATTGAATGCCCTCAAGTTCTAGTATTTTGGGAGAGGGAGCCCAGCAGACCACCCATTTGGTAGCCAGCAAATCCCTAGTGGCTTACCATCTTGTAAGGGTGCACAGTGCATGATCATAGCTATGGGGGCAGGTTCACAAAGCCACCCTTCAGATACCCTGGCGTCCCGGATGATATAGGGCTTTCTACATAATAATCAGGACTGTTAATTGCTGGTTATTAAAACAAAGAAGCAACCAGAGAGCATTTTAGTAAGAGATGGTCCTATAACTCATGTATTTCCTAAAACTGTGGCACAAAGAGTTCAAAGAAGAATGAGAACATGCTACATAGATTAAGGTATGGTCTACACCACCTGTCCCAAGACTCCCAACTACCTTCATAAACATGAGAGAAGCAATATACAAAACATATACCAGATAGCACTTGGTGCCAGATAAAATCCATCATATGTATCCACAATATCTTGGAACACTTCAGAAAAAAATCTAGAGAGACTTCCGGTTTATAGCGACACGCAGGCAGACGCATCTCCCAGACACTCCAGGGATGTAAACTGCACACCAGTGTGTGGGAGGGGGTCCAACGGGTCGCGACCCCCCCCCGGAGCCTTGGTAAAAGGCTCCCAGCCAGGGGGCTTTTGAGGGACGACCTCTTCGATGGTGCAATGCTGGAGAATTGAGGCGCCCCTCCGCCCCAAAGGTCCTGCTGAGTGACCGTATGGTACGAGTGCTGCTGACTGGGACAAGCATTGGAGATCGGGCAAAAAAAATGATGCCGAGCGAGGCCGGTTGGTCAACAACAAACTGTGAGTCAGGTTGAAGCGAGCACGAAGATTTATAAAGAAAGCTGCCCCCCTTAAAGAGCGACAGCAAAGCGAGCGGGGGAGGGGTTCCTCCCAAACGCATAGACGAAACACGAACGGAGAGAGGGAGGAGCGGGAAAATAAGCGATTAAATCTGTTTTAAGAGACTTACCAGAGCGCAGATAAGTGTTTGGGCGAAGATCAGAGACTTGAGCAACTTTTAAAAAAAGTAAACAAATCCAAAAAGATGGTGGGGAAGAAACTGGAGAAAGAAAAGCTGCTGAAACCGAAACTAGTGGGCAGTCCTCAAACAGAGGAGGCTGCTGAGCTCTCAAAATTGCTGGCTGATTCCTTGCACCCTCTGCTGGATGAAATGACTAGTATTAAGCAACAACTGTCAACAATTGGGGAGAGTTTGGCATCACAGCAGTTGCAATTGACTCAATCTTTAAAAGCAATGGAGCAAATAGGAGAGAAGGTGAAGGAAATGGACGCCAATACTAAAAAAGTTAAGAAAAAGGTACAAAAGCTGGAAATGAAGCAAACTATGGAAGAGTCAAAACTTTTACAAATTGAGAAAGCAAATTTGGTCCTACGGTTTCAAGAGGTCCCAGAAATCAGAGAGAATCTGAAACAACGGCTGAGTGAAGCAATAGCCCCAATGACAGATTTGACAGCGGAATACCTCTACAGCGAGATGGATGTGGTCTATAGGTCCTATTCATCATAACATCAAGAAAAATAATCTACCTGGGGAAATAGTAGTCAGATTTTCGAAGAGACATGTAAGAGATGCTATCTTGAAAGCAATGACGGGAACATCCTTGAAAATTGGGGACAACAACATCAGGATTCTAAAAGATATTCCATTTGATATAAGGCAGAAGAGAAAGAACTATAAAGAATTAATCCTTTTCTTACAAACAAATGGCATCAGTTATAGATCGCAAATTCCAGAAGGTGTCACTTTCAAACTCCATGATAAAAAAGAAAAGATTGATTCTGTTCTTAAAGCACGTGACTTTTTGCGAACACAGCTTGGGGAAACAGCTAAGGACAAAAAGGAAGAAGAAAGCAAATCTGATGGCGAGTTGGGTTCGGGGTCTTTGGACGAGGACTCCCCCTTTGAAAAGGGGGCGACTGCCCCCAAAAGCCCATACAAACTGAGGATTAGAAAAGGTAGGAATAAACTCTGATTTGTGCCTGAAAAAATGTTGAAACTAACTGAGGGATGCTCTGGGGATTTCTTTAAACAGATAAAGGGATGGTTAAACGATTATTAACTTAGCATAACCAACGATGTTCATTGTATTATTAGCTTTTTGAAAATAGCATGGGGATAAGCTGATGTATTGATCTCCTACTCTTGGGATTTTAGTTAGTAGTGGGTCTTTTTTCTTTCTCCTTAGATGTAGTCCCCTTCCCCATATTTTCAGTTATAGTTTGTAGTCTGTAAAAAAAATCAATAAAAACCTCCCCTCAGGGGGAAGGGGGGAAAAATCTAGAGAAACAGTTCTTATC